GCCAAAGCTGTTTGGAGTTGCAAGATGCATCTTCGATAATATTATTTAAGATATGTATAGGTATAGCTGTGCTATTGTCTGGCAGATCAATATAATTATAAGATGAAAGAATCTTATATTTAGTGAATACTTGATTTAGACGGTTTGTGAGAAGTTTTGTATAAAGTTTTTTGGAAACTAGATTAATATGTATATTTAAAACTTCAAATGTTGAATAATAGCTAAAATACAAAATCTAATAAATATAAATTCCAAATATATAAATAATACAGTTATTAAAAATACAAAATATTATTATAATTTTCATATATATGGACTGCCATTAATAGAAATCAAGCAGATTGACAATTTAAAAAAACCAATACCTTAACTTTTGTTGTTTATATCTCAATAATTTTTGAAATTATTCTTATTATTAAATAGTCAAAAGAAAGCTTATATCTTTAGTTTTCTTTTAACTGTCAGTTATACAAATAGCTTAAAATTTATTGAGCTATAAGCAATGAAAATTAAGCCATTAACTTTTTTTAAATTGTTATTCAGTTTGATTTTTATTGATAACAATCCATATACAGCTTTTTTTATTTTATTATAATTAGTTTTTATTTTTTTAAAAAGTACTCTAAACTGTATAAATAACTTAGATCCAATCACTAATAATATATATTATATTTTAACTAATTAATATTTAAATTATATTGTATAATTTATAGGTTCAGTTAAAATTAAACCAACATTAATATATTAATTTAAAAATTCTCATACTTTACAAGGTATAAATAAAGATAATCTTTCTGTTAATTATTATCATAATATAACAGCTTGGATGACTTCAAAAATTTGGAATAATTTTCTTAATTAGTTAAATCAAAAAATGATTGAGGAAAACAAACTTATTATATTACTTTATAATTAAGCATTAGTTCATTGTAAAAATATGTGCTTAACTTCTAAAGATTTCTCAAATATTACTTTACATTCATTATCTAAATATACTATTGCACATCTTTAACTACTTGATGCTAGAATTATATATTCTTTTAAAGTATTTAAATTAAATTTAATTTAATAAATATTTAAAAATTTTTAATAAATTAAATATTAAATATAATAAAATATAATTTATTTAATATATAATTTAATAAATATCTATTAAATTATTATTTATTAGTTATAATTAATATTAAATTAATATAAATTTAAAAGTTTATTATGTAATAACTTATTATATATATATATTTTTTATTTTAATATAATTTGAATAAATTTTTATTAATTAATATTTGTACTTTATATTTGCATAAACAAAAATAATTTTATAAGATATAAAAATTAATTAATAAAAAATTATATTAAAATTTAATAATATATAATATTTTTTAAATAATTTTATTTAAAATATTAATATTAATTAATTTATAAAAATTTTAACTTTACTATATAGCTATAATAATTAATAATTAAAATATTTTTTAAAAAAAAATTTATTTAAAATTAAAATTTTATATTATTACAATATAATTATTAATTTATTTGTTATATAATATAATTATAACTATATAAAGAAACATTTATAATAATTATATTTCTTTATAATTTCTATTTTTAAATTTTAATATGAGATTATAAAGGAGTTATAATTATATTTTTATAATTTTAATTAACTTTTTTTATAATTTATAGTCAAATTATAGAAATTTTTAATAAAACATCATTTAGATAAATTTAATAAAGTATGTAAAACTAGTAAAAAAATAGAAGAAGTAACAATAGCATATGCAATTGAATGGTCTTCTAAAGCATGGCAAAATGTAACATCTAATACAATTTTAAATTGTTGAAAAAAACAGAAATTTTACTTTTTGATAACTCAGAATCTATACTTTCTGATAGTACAGTGACTGATGAATTAGTTTTGTTAGAAAAAAATAATAATAATAAAGCTAAAATACAAAATTTAAATAATTAATTACTATATAAAAATGATGAAAAGATCAATGCATATATCTTATTCTATTGATATTACAAATGAAGAAATTGTAACTAATATTATTAAAAATAAGTTAGATAAAGAAATTGAATCTGAACAAGAATTAATATTAAGTTTAACAAAAGCAATTTATAATATTCAAAATATTGTTTAATTTGTTAAACATAAACAAACTGATTTTGAATTAGATAAAAAACATTTAGAAACATTATATGAAATTCAGAAAAAATTTTAATTTATAATTCAAAACAAAAATTATAAATTTAAAGGATTATAAAAAAAATTATAATAAAAAAAATAAAAAATAAAATAAAATAAAACAAATAAAACAAATAAAAAAATAAAAAAAATAAAACAAATAAAAAATAAAAAAAATAAAAAATAATAAATAAAAAATAAAAAAAAAATAAAAAAATAAAAAAAAATTAAAAATTAAAAAATTAAAAAACTAAAAGGATTTTTATTACAAATAACTGGTAGTAATTATCATTACTATTTTTAGAGTTAGAATGCAGATTTAGAATAAAACAAAGGTCAGATATAAAGATTTATATTTTAGATTTTTGAGAATTCTAAATATTTTTACTTAATATATCTGACTCTTGTTTCTTAGTTCTGTTTTTGAGATATTGCAATCTAGTAATAATTACTACTAATTATAATTAGTAAAATTCAAATAAAAAATATAAAAAAAAATAGGGAGGAACTCTTTCTGCAAATCCTTTACACAAATCTTAACTAAAAATCGTCTGTACAAAAACATTTATAACTATTTATTTTACTAAGATTTAAACTCGTTGAGAAAAACGTACTGACAACCTTTGGCCTTCAGAATTTACAATTTCATCTATTTCACAAAAGTTCTTGTCACAACTTACTTTACACTCTTAAGTAA